TGCTCTATATATATGTATATATATATATATATATAATTTTTTATTATATTATATATCTGGTTATTTTAAGCATATTAAAACAATCTGTTATTTTTACGTGCTAAAAAAGTTGCATTACTACGCACGTGCGAGATTTCTCCACGTGATCATGATACATATCATGCATGTGATAAATAAGACAGATTTCCTAACCTCAAAAAATGTTACTTTTAACTTGATATAAATAATTCTTTTTTACGATTGAGTATATAGATGAATCGGGTCTATACATTACGTACACTTTGATTCAAGTTTAAGATTTTTATTTTTAATATTATTTTTATATTAAATATTCAAAATTATTATATTTTTAATTTTACGTCGATAATTATTATCATCTATTCTTTTGTATAATCAAGTTAAAAGAATTAAAAAAAGTAAAAAGGTAAAATTTTGAATCATCGCACACAATGGATAATATATCAATAGATATAAGTGAGGACGAATTAGTAGCAGAAATTACCGAATTACGTAAACTGTTACGTACGAAAGAGGCTAAATTAACTCATTTGCGACGTGAAAAACAAATTGTTCAAGAATATGGTTTAAACAACGATGAAATTTGTAGATACAGTCGGCAGCTCTTTTTGAAAGAAGTTGGTGTGAAAGGTATGCCATAAGATTGCTTATAATATACATAAAGAAAAGTATAATAAATTTCTTAATAAAATATTATTTTACTATATCTCGTGACAATAAACTTAATTTATATATAAAAAGACATAATTTTTTTAATAGATTCTCATTTTTTTAGGTCAAAAGAAGATAAAGGAGAGTTCCGTACTTATTGTCGGAGCTGGTGGTCTCGGTTGCCCTGCAGCATTGTATTTAACTTGTGCTGGCATTGGTTGCATTGGCATAGTAGATTATGATGATGTTGAAATAAATAATCTTCATAGACAGTTATTGTATACAGAAACAAGCATAGGTACCGCTAAAGTAATTGCAGCAGCAGAAAGTCTTAATCGGTATAACAGCATTATGAATTAATTGTATATTGATTGGAATTAGATAAAAATTGTTGTTTTTGCTGATATAATTAAGTTTTATATGTAATAGTCTTTTCTTACTTTTTAATTCACATTTAAAAAATCTATTTCATATTCTTGTTCTCACAGGCTAAATAGTTACGTAAAAGTCATTCCATATATGATTCAATTAGATAGTAAAAATGCTTTGGATATCATAAAAAATTATGATATTGTAATAGATGCTACAGATAATGTAGCTACGCGTTATTTGTTGAATGACGCATGTGTTTTGAGTGGTAAACCATTAGTTTCTGGATCAGCATTGAGATTTGAAGGGCATTTATCAGTATTTAATTACAATGGTCCTTGCTATAGATGTATATTTCCTGATCCACCACCACCAGAAACTGTAACAAACTGTGGAGATGGTGGTGTTCTTGGTGCAGGTAAACTTTTCTATTTTTTACTAAATTCTATATACATATGTTTCACAATTTACAATTAAATATTATTTTTATTTTTCATGATGAATATTAGCTGTTGGAATAATTGGTGTATTACAAGCACTGGAGACATTAAAAATAATACTTAATATGCCTGACATAACTTCAGGACGGCTTTTATTATTTGATAGCACAGAAACTAAATTCCATAATGTACGCTTACGTCCAAAAAATATAAACTGTGCAGTTTGCGGGGAACATCGCGTTATACATGACTTAATAGACTATGAAAAATTTTGTGGTGCAAAAGCTAATGATAAAGATCTCAATTTAAATTTATTAAAGAAAGAAGAAAGAATATCAGTTGAAGAATATAATAAGATCATGAAAATGCAATCAAAATCTCACATAATGATCGATGTACGTTCATCTGAAGAATATCAAATCTGCCATTTACAGGATTCTATTAATATTCCTTTCACACAGCTTAGCAAGGATCATAATTTAAAGCTAATAAAAGATAATATAAAGAAGGTGCAAAAAGAACATCATTCAGTGGATTGTAAGATATATTTTATATTTCCATTATAATTTTTTGTTAGATTATTTTTTATGCGATTGATAGAATTAATCTTAGACTGTATTTACTCTTGCAGTATATCTTATGTGCAGACGTGGAAATGATTCACAAAAGGCTGTTCAATATTTGAAAAAGATATTTATCGAAGATACTTTGAAAATAAGAGACATAATTGGAGGTATCCATGCTTGGAGTAATAAGATTGATCAAAAGTTTCCTAAATATTAATATATTAAATGAAAATTGTATCACTTGTATGTGTATGTATGTGTATGTGTGTGTGTGTGTGTGTGCGTGTGTGATATAACATATTTTTAATATATTTTATTGAATATTATCATCAAGACAATGTAATATAAACTTTATTACATTTATAGATTTTTGTATATATGGTTATCGAAAATATATTGTATTTCAATTTATTTGTATATATATATATATATATATATAATTTAATTTGAATATTTTTCTATTTCCTCTACAGTTAGACTAGTTTCTGGATGTTTATAATGAGAATCTGATAAGTTTCTTAATTTTTCTGCTGCTTGTTCTGGTGTTAGATCTCTTTGTACTTGAGCTAAAAGCTCATAACCGACCATGTGCTTCTTTATGGTAGAAGAACGTAGTAAAGGTGGTAAGTATAGTCCATGAAAAGTCCAATATGGATAATCACGATTCTGATGTGAACCCATTGGAGCACCTTTAATTACATATTAATGAATCAGTAATTGTAAATTATGCTAGATTAAAATGATATGTAAATAATAAATAAAATATCTGATGATTGTTATTCTTTACCATGCCATCCCATTGAATATGGAAAAGAACAGTGAAAGAGATTATCATACTTTGTACACAATCTTTTCATGATGACAGCTAGAGATTCTTGTTGATTGTCTGATAATTCTTGCATTCTAGTTACTTGTTTTTTGGGTAATATCATAGTTTCATATGGCCAAACTGCCCAGAATGGCACTACAACTATCCAATCACGATTTTCTATTACAATGCGATCCTAAAAATGTAAATTTATTTAAGTTTAATTAAAGTTGAATAAAAAATTATCCTAGATGATAAAGATAAATCTCGTTACTTTTGAGCTTTTTTACATTATATCAATATTGATAATATTCATATATCAAATTGGCATTATTTATAATAACCAACCCTTTTTAAAATTTCTTTCTGCATGTAATCAATAAGAAGAGGTTTCTTATTACGTATATAAAAATCTTTGAGATATTCGTCTTTTATTCTAATTTCATTCGGTAAAAACGAACTGGACCATATCTGACAGTGAGGATGTGCATTGCTACAGCCCATCAAAGCGCCTCTATTTTCAAATATCTGGACCCAGATCCATTTTTTACCCAAGTCCAACATCTCATAGATCCACCTGTTGCATTATACAATGTTCATTTTTCAAAAGTAATGACTATTCGAGTACATAGTGTGTGTTCGGGAACACACTATTAGCGCTATTTGTATTATTTTATTCTTATTTTACATTGAATGATAAAGATAAAACAACACAAATAATGCGCACACTAATAGCATCTCTCTGAATGCATATTTTTTGTACAATGTTACTCACTGTTTGATTACTTCCTTGATTTCATAAATCTTCATCAATGCTATTGTTACGTTTGACTTTGGATGAAAACACATCACTTTACAGGTACCTTTAGCAGATTCCATTTGGAACAATTCATCATCGGATTTTGGTGGATTTGGTACTGATTCTAGTAAAGCAGGAAAGTCATTCACGAACGAGAACGTATTTTGATACATTGGAGTTACCTGTAGTACAGAATATCAATTTTTTCAATGAATTAATTTCTTCAATGAATAATATATTCAATTAAACAAAACATAATATATAAAAAAATTAATTATTAATTAATTCATATTAATAATGAAAATGAATTTGATCAAATAAATTGCTTTATTGTGAAATTTTTAGTATTATATTAAATATTTAAAATTAAAAATTTTCTTGTCAAGAAATCTCTGTAAATAAAAGAATAATGCAATACCAATATAAATAAAAATGCAAGAGATATATTAAAATAAATATAGCAAAATATTCTTTTATCAAATAAAGTCAAGAATTTTAATATTTTAATGATATGAATTAAAACAGCAAAACGTTATTTGTATAAGGTGAAACATTTTAATAGATATTTCAACATTTTATCATGGAAAATAAATTATCTTGCATCTGGAAACCCATACATAAGAGAGAATGAAATATTCATTTCCTATGGTAAAACGTTGGGAAATCCATTAAAACTCACAGATATTATAATATATTACAGACAAAATATAGATCAAATCTAACTTCTCCACTAGCTCTAATATTTCCTGGGCAAAGTGGATTATTGGAATCATAATCTGGAAGCTCCTCATCTATATTATGTTCTATTTGACCTCCCCATGGTCGCTTCATACGATGTGGTGACACTAATACCCATTCTCCTCTTAATGGATTATATCTTATATGTTGATGTTCTGCAAAAGAAATCTTAATAAAAAAAATTATTATTAGATATTGAAAAATATTATTATTTATATCTAACCAATTGGATCAAATGCTGATGATGTGGCGTTATTTTTTGATATATCTTTTGTTCCATTCTTGTTTCTTTCTAATGATTCGTCACCTATCACAAATTCATAGAATAGATGATTTTTTAGGTTCTAAAGGATATTTCTTCATTATCAAAATATTATTAGAAATATCCTAAATTTTAGGATATTTCTGATATTATGAAAAAAAAACTTGTGAGAAATATATTCATATATCAGTTTATACTAAAGCTGCAATATTATATAACAGATTAGATACTTTATCATTTTGCGTATTTGATTAGATAATCTTTTCTTTGTACATTTTAAACCATATGAAAATTTATAATACAGAATATTATCATAATATAATTTCTATTTCATGTTATTTAATAAAATTATTTAATAAAATAAATTGGATAAAATTTTATCATTAATAGATATAGAATACCTGTTTTTTTAGAAAAAACAGAAAAATTATCAATATATCTCATTAAAAATAACAATGATATAATATTAAATGTTTATAGTATAATAATGACTTACCTTTCACTGACATTTTTATATAAAAGCTCAGTGAATAACTGAAATTCTGTGACAGAAATTCTGTTATGCTTGATAATTACTGAATATTGTTCTTCTTTCGTATTTACATGAATCACATTTCTGTGTAGATAACAAGTATATCAATATATAGGTATAATCAATATATAGGTATATATAATCAATATATAATTTTACGTCAGTCGAGATAAATAAAATTTGAATCAAAGATCATGGAAGAGGAAAGAATATGTAACTTTTTTACTATTTGATAGAAAACGATAAGAATGGTCGAGTTATATATAGTTATATATATAGTTAGAAAAATTTTATGAGCTCTCTCCCAGTTAAATTAATAAACTGCGTGGTTAACTCAAAGTTGTTTAACGAGTGTTTGAATATAATATATAATTAATGTTATCTAATCTGTTTCTATCATATCAAACAGCTACAAAATTAATAAAAATTTTAAGAATACATAATTTTTTTATTTACATTAATAAAATAATATAGATATTATAGTTAATCAGAATTTTATCAAATATGATTTATATGAGGATATAAACAATGTTTCTACATAATTGTTTATTTTAACTTTATCATTTTTCATTTTGATAAAAATGATAAAAATATATTCATTCCATTGCATGGATGTAAAAACAAAGATTTAAGAAGAAAAAGCATCAATGTACTTCATGAAACAAAAGATATTAAAAAAGTTCTTCAAGTTAGAAAATCTTAGAAAATCTCATACCGACGAAATGCAGTAACAACTAGGAACGACATGAGTAGAGCTAAATCACAGACTTCTATTATATATATTATTATACTAAACTAATTGCTAAAGCATCATTTATATTGGCTGTAATCTGTAACATACAGCCAGCGCTTTGACCATTGTCCAGTGCAGCAGACAACCACCATAATGCTTTCTGCATGTTGGACGCGATGAGCGATATCCAATGAAAACTCTGCTTTTTCTCACGTGATGATGCATAGCAGAGTTTTCATTGGATATCGTTCATCGCTCATCGCGTCCAGTACAGTAGATAATTACGATCGTTCGAAAAATAAAAGGAATTAGTGTCTTTTTATCAAAGCAAAAGAATTGATAATATTCGATACTATTTAACAAAAACATCACAAAATGTAAGTTAAGTATTTGCTTTATAATATCTTGTGTGATGTTATTAATATTTCAATATATAATGTTAATCTATCACAGTTTATATCAAGGATAACCTCAATTATAGCACGTATAACTTTATTTATTTGCATTATTAATTATTAACGTATAAAAAGTTAACTAAACATTTTTAGTATTATATATCATGTAATATATTATTGACATTTTTTGAATATCAGGTCATCTCTAACCAAACCAAAATCTGAGATGACGCCAGAGGAATTAGCAAAAAGAGAAGAGGAGGAATTTAACACCGGACCTCTCTCAGTTTTAACACAATCAGTGAAGAATAATACCCAAGTATTAATAAACTGCAGAAATAACAAAAAGTTATTGGGACGAGTAAAAGCTTTTGACAGACACTGCAATATGGTTTTAGAAAATGTAAAAGAGATGTGGACAGAACTTCCACGTACAGGAAAAGGCAAAAAGAAGGTATGTGTAATTGTATATTTCTAGCAAATTACTCAAATTGTATTTTATTATTAAATAATTCTAAAATTTATTTTAAATTTTGAATTGTCAGTGATTATCCAAATTATTTAATTAAATAAGAAAAAAATTTGATTAAAGTAGATCTTAAGTGTTTCAGTATTTCTCTATGATTATGTACATATCTGATTCTGTAAACAGTGCACCAAAATCTTTTTCTTAAAATGCATTTATGAGCAAAACTTTTATGTATATAAATTCACATAAAAATATTTAAACACTAAAGTTGGTTTTGATCCTGGTAGTAATCCTGACGATAAAATGACAAATGACGTAACTTGCTATCAGAGGACCAAATATAGGAATTTCTCTTATTTAATTAGATTTATTTTCATTGGTATAAATTTGTATCAAATTACCTGATATTTATTACTAAATTATTTGATACATCATATATATAAATGTAATTACATAATCGTTATTTAATATGAAAAAATTGAGTCTATTGTTGAGTAAGTTTTGAATTTAGAAAGAAAAGGATATAATTAACTGATATTTCAAGATATAATAAATAAAACGTTTAAGATATTCGATTGTAAGTCTAACAAAAAATTAAAATAAAATAGTAAAGTAAGATTATGTAAATTATTAATAATATTCTTAATCATTTACAAATAGGCAAAACCAGTAAATAAAGACAGATTTATTCCAAAAATGTTTCTACGTGGAGATTCTGTCATCTTGGTTCTGAGGAATCCACTGGCAACTGCAGCAGGAAAATAATAATCTAAGAATCGTTTAATTTTATGAATTTAATATTATTAAGGCTAATAATATAATAAAGGAAATAAATTTTTTTGATATGACCATAGCAGTGTTTATTAACGCGATAAACCCTTTTTCTGCACAAATCTTTAATCTTGTTCATTAAATATTAAGTAAAAAAGTGTATCAGGCAGGACATATTTATTTCTTATGAATTGTATACAACATTATCAATCTTTTTCGGCAATTGCGGTTAAATGTTTATCAATCTCTTGTTCGGTCAGTATACTGTAACAGAAAAATTGTTAAAAAGCAATGGAAAATAAAATTTTGGTACCAACATATGAAACATTAATATCAAAATTATTTCATAAATTACCGGAATTTGGGATTATCCTTTGATACAACTCCCACTTCAATTTCAGTTGGTTTAAAGTCTACAGACAAGACTGTAGACAGACAAGTAATGGCTAGTTGTATAGTCTCGTCATAATCATAGTTTTGTTTCTTCTTTAATTTCTTCTCGAGATAGGAATTAGCTTCCGTTTGTTTTGCTCCAACGGAGATAGCTCTATATCCACAAAAATATCCCGCTGGATCGGCTTTATAAATACATGGACCTTTCTCTTTGTCATATGCAATAAGCATCATGGAACATCCAAGAGGTCGCATCTCTGCATTTTGCGTATATACTTGACTAATGTCTGCGATACGCTGACACAAAGCGTCCACAGGTATCTCGTAGCCATACTTATATTTAAAATGAGCTGCTTCGTATCGTGCACGTTGTACTTGAGACTTGCTATCAGCTGGAATAGGAATTACAATGAATTTAATTGGATGTATATTAAAGCTATTGTGCAATGATATCCGAGTATAAAAGTAAAACGCAAATATAATTCAAATTACGAGTTATATATTTTATCTAAACACAATAAAATATTTTCAGAAGTTTGCAGTTTAATCTGTTTTTATATTTATATAAACTCATTCTCCTGTCGTTCGACTATAAAGGGGAATACTCAATTGTAATTGATTTTTACATTCTGATTCAGATTAAGCTCTCGGTGGAAACTAGATGTGTCTACTGAATGCATCCAATTCACTCTTAGAAAGAGAATGTTAAGTATGGCATAGCTAAAAATTATCTGAACTTACCTATCATACCAGTCATGACACAACCGATGTAGTCAGTCAGCTGAAATACATGAGTGACACTGGATGCATCAAGTAACTTGTCCTATAAAAAGGAAGATATTACTTCGATATAAATATGATTATTAATTAAAACATGTCTCTAAATATTAAATTATCATTTCTAATAAATGTTAAGCTAATAAGATGTACAAAGAATTGAAAGAAACTAAATTTTAAGTTCTAATAGGAAGATGTTTAAAAGATCTTTACAGGCACTTTCTTCTGTGTTGCAAAAACTGCTGTCTCGACCCCTTTGACGGCTACAGACGTCAGGCCACCTTGATTGATAGCTTTAAAGGCGTATTCTGTGCGAGATACAAAGAAAAAAGGCATTTCAATAAATTTTAAAATGCAGATCATACTGAATCGTATAAAATGCAAACAAATAGGAACACAGGAAATTTATAGGAGTGACGATGCAGATGATAACTATTCGTATCTGAGATATTTTTGATTCTTACCTACTTGGTATAGTCGGCCTTCTGGTGAAAAGATCGTGATATGCCTGTCAAAACCAGCACTACTACCACGCGCCATGTTCGCTTATACAGAAAATAGAGAAATCGGCGATGCTTCCGTCCGCGGCTTTTCGACCAATTTGCTGTGAAAACCAGTGAAAACGTCAAATCATAGGTCTGTTCTTTGTAGTTGTACTTTCTACACTGGTGCAGAAAGGATACATATGTAAGTACAAAAGTACGTTCCGAAATTTTCCTGACAGTAGCCTAGTTTCCACCGGAGAATTTAAACCGGATTAGAATATAAGAACTACAGTCGAGTATTCCCTTGTTAATAGTCGAACGACAGAGGAATGTTCGACTAGTTGGTTGGTACATTCTGATCGGTTTAAACTCTCGGTGAAAATTAGGCCATTGCTAACTACGTGATTACAATCAGAACCAATCAGAACTTAACACCAATCGCTTCTCTTATAAATATAGGGGGTATAATCAACGCAATGCTGCAAACTCTTTGAAACGTTTTTTAATTGGTCAGTTTATAAAATTCTTTCTTCTAATTGGTCCATCAAATGCTTCAAAGCATTTGTAGCGAGATTTTGACCACAGTCTAGGACTCTAGACGCGATGAGCGATGAACGACGAGCGATATCCAATAAAGGAGTCTCTAAAAGCTTTGCTTTTTCTTATGTGACAAAGCTCTCACGCAAAGCTCTCATTGGATACCACTCGTCGCTCATCGCTTATCGCATGCAATGTGCAGTAACATAAGAAATATAACCTATATTCTAAACTTTTTTTCACGCTTGAATTGATACTTTCATTTTCTCATGTATGCTCAAGTAATGTAATCTTATATCTTAAAATTGCACATGCTGGATACGCAGTTTCTATCTTTGAATATAAATAAAATCATTCATTCATTTCTAAATACGGATAATTATCAATGAGATAAAATGTCTCGTTTAATTGTAAAAAATTTGCCAAAAAGTGTAAGTGGATGAAATCACATGTGATCTTTTTTATTTAATTTCATATACAATATATAAATAATTGTTATTATACATTATATATCAGTCAAAGTGTTAACTTTAGCAAATGTATACACTGGTCAATGCATACATTTACTGAATTAACACTTTGTAATACATACATATAAAATATTTTATTTTACCTAGGTTACAGATATCAAATTAAAAGAATTATTTAGTCAAAAGGGGATTGTGACTGATGTCCAATTGAAGTACACGAAGGATGGTAAATTTCGACGATTTGGATTTATTGGCTACAAATTAGAGGAACAAGCAAAATTGGCACAATCCTATTTTGATCAAACATTTATTGATACTTCTAAAATATATGTTGAGCAGTGTGCAAATTTAGGTAAGTATAATTATTTATAATTATTTATAATTATTTATAATTTTATTATAATTATATAATTTTATTATAATTTAATAGTTTTGATATATGAATGTATTTTGTTTGTATGATATTTTTAGGCGATCCTTCAAAGCCAAAATCATGGAGCAAATATGCAAGTGATAGTTCTCATAATAATGTTAATAAAACATCTAATGTAAAGTCAAAGGTAAAATCAATAGATTTGACAGAAAATACTGAAGAAGCTAAGAACAAAAGTGATAAAAAGAAAAAAAAGAAAAAGGCAGACAAAAAAGAAAATGATGAACTTAAAAAAGCACTTGAAAAGGTACATTAAAATTTTTTCTCACTTCATTAGTTAATAAATTATTTA